AGGATCAATCGAATTAGAAACGYTACACGAGTAGATTCCTTGATCATCTCTGTCGACTTTCGTTATCGTCAATGTTCTGTTGTCGTTAGCGATTTGGTACCTAGAGTTCCTTCCTGCCAGTTCTTGACCATCTTTGTACCATACTGTTGAAGGGACTGGGGATCCAGTAGCATTACAGGTGAATATAACCTGTGCTCCTTCGGAAACCGTCTTTGATTTTGGTAGTTTTTGTATGAATGATGGCGGCTCTAAATGTGTACAAAAATATGAATAATTAATTAATAGACGGATAAAAAAATATTGCGCTATAATTCACTTTTTTTTTCCCCTGACATCTATTCCCTTCCATTTTCCTTCTATGCCAGTTCCCTTCCCGGTTTTTCTTTTGGTTTTCCTTCACATTAACTCCCTACGACCCTTCCCCCCTTCCGTTAAATTTTTGGGGAAATCGCAAACCATTTGACTTTAAAATAACACATTTTCGTTAATTTTCCTTTTTTCTCTCAACTAGGCGAATCATTCAATTCATTGAGAAAAATATATTGTTTGAGATCGAAACGAAAGTAAGCTTTTCGAACGAAGACACTACGAAATATGGCCGAGTCCGATCCGAAAAATAAACGAAACGTGTCGGAAAGCGAAAGTAGAATGTCGAAAGGAGCTGGACCATTGTAAAACCTGAAATAAGAAGAAACAAAAAGCAAAGGAATGATTAACATAATACTGCAACACTGGTTAAGAATTTCATCTTCATTTCATGGCCAACTTCTCAAAAATTGAGATTATTGTGTTACTGAATGAACTTGAGGTTAGGTCTAGAAAACACTGCAGTCAGGATTCTTCTATGTTTGGCTGCTTGCTTCGCGGATGTCAAAAACCCTTATCTGAAAGTAAAAAAAAAATACAATTTACTCTCGAAATATCAAATTGTCCTTGTGTCCCACTTTCATAATTTTTCTCATGGTCATGTGTTAGAAAAGGCTACTAGCTTCAGGATAGCGTTGGAGTACCACTCGTTATTCGCCTTGTACTTTGTGCGACTTTTCAGCTTTACAAGATACGGGAAGAGTTTTAATAGGAGGTGGCTCTGCCATTATTGCTCGTTATTGAAAAAAAATTTCCTCTTAAAATGTAAACTCACTATTCACAATGAGTTTTAATAAAAGATGGCTCTGAAGGGCGTGATCTATACCCCTACACTTAAATAAATGTGATATCGAAAATATTACACGAAACAAATTAAAATCGGAACTTATTAAATAAGACAAAAGCAACGTTAACTTTTTGATTAATTTCCTTATCCGTTGGAACTAACTGACTATCGTTAATGAATCATGAAGCAAATGATTTCTAAAGAAATAAGATGCATGCATATCACTCAGCTTTCTTCTATTTTACGTTTTTTACCATACAAATTAGGTTTAACTTGGTTGTGAACGAAATTTACAAAAATACTTACCCTGACTAGAGCAACCCTAATCTGTTGTCATCCTCGGTAGCTCTATTGGTCATAGTGGGTATCAGAAGATATACCAAAGAAACCACCAATGTATTTATGAGTTTGTTTCAGATAATGAAACAAATTGTTGCTGATTAAAGAGCCACTATAGAGAATGTTGTTATATATACGCTATGTAAATTATTGCTGAGGTTGGCAAGACCTATGTTTTGAACTAGTACGAAAAGGGAACTGAGGAGAAAAAGAAAAAAAAATATAATATTACATATCAAACGTTTTGATAACTGAATGAACACTAATCAGGAGCGGAAATAACGATGCAATGTTTGCGATATTTCGAGATCTGACTTCCTCGAACAATTTAGACTGTTTAGACTGTTTATTCTGAAATTATAGCGAAAAAGTAAAGGGAAAAAAGCATGAATTTGAATGAGGATTATTCAGTCATGACCAGTTTTTTTCCTCTTGAGAACGAGATTCTTTCTTTGAGTATTCATGTGTCTTCTCATGCGTTACCGTTAAACAAAGAGCTAAACAAAGGTTATAGCCACTTCCCTTGAGAGTCCGTAGTATTTTTCCAAGGCAGAAAACTACAACAACAACAACGACAACAACAAAGACATTTTTTAGCTAAACAATTATGAACTGTACTCAGATACAGAAGATTCCATTCTACAATAGTCCCTTTCACAGTTCCCTGCACCATCTTAAAAGGTAGCCGTGCCTTTGCATCGTAGCGAGGCGAACAGTTAGCGTGCAATGATAGGGACATGTGAATAAGTGTACAAGGTGTTAAAAAGGTCTCTATGGTTGCAAGTTCACCGTTCATTTCGCTTCGATGCAAAGGCACGGCTACCTTTCAAGATAGCGCAGGGAGCTGTGAAAGGGACTCATGAACGTACCAGAGTGTGTTTTCACTTCAATCACATTACTGGGTAATCCTTCACCCACGTGATTCACAGCACCAGCCTTGATAGAATATGACGTATCTGGTTCTAAGTCTTC